TATCCACCACCCCTTTCTTTTTTAAATCCACTTTATTTTCCCTCACTCTCCTATGTTCCCCTCCCGGTCCATGCAGAGTGGCTTCAATCTTGCTTCTTATATTGACAGTCGACCCGGTGGGGAGATCATTCGGGTAAGGCTGAAGCTTGGCCTACACCTGGCAGAGATGAAGGGTGAAGGTCTAAAGACCCCAGACACCATTATATCACCAGGGCTTTCAGTGTCGTCGCCCCCTCCCCTCCCTGCCCAAGGCTAAGATGAAGGGAGGGGGGAGGATAGAAAATGTATTTTTAAATGTATAATTTAAAAAAAATAATGTTTATATATATATATATATATATGTGTATATATATATATACATATATATATATATACATATATATATATTCAGTTGCACCCCTCTCAACCCCTTCCCCGAACACATTCAAATCCCCTATAGGCACACTGCACCACCCACACACACAACAGCCCCGACACACACAATACACACAGTACATCCCTAACACAAGCAGTACATTCCTAACACACACACACACAACATCCCTGACACACACACAGTACATCCTAGACATACACAGTACATACCAAATACACACTATATAGATCCTTTACACACACTAGATGCCCTACAGACACACACACTGCATAACCGACACACACAGTACATTCCTGACACAAAGCACATCCCTGACACATACAGTACATAACTGACATTAACAGTACATCCTAAATACCCTATGGATCCTTTACGCATAAACTAGATCCCCTACAGACACACACTGCATAACCTACGCATGCAGCACATTCAATATAAACACTATGGATCCCTTAGGAACATGCTACAACCCATGCAGACACACACTGCACCACGTACACACACCACATCCCTGACACACACACAGTACATCTCTGACACACACACGCAGTACATCCCTGACACGCACAGCACATTCCTGACGCGCACATACACAGCACATTCCTGACACATACAGTACATCACTGACACACACAGTACATCCTAAATACCCCATGTATCCTTTACACACACACACTAGATCCTCTACAGACACACACTGCACAACCTACACACACAGTACATTCAATATAAACACTATGGATCCCTTAGGAACATGCTACAACCCCTGCAGACACACACTGCACCACGTACACACACCACATCCCTGACACACACACAGTACATCCCTGACACGCACACAGTACATCCCTGACACAAAGCACACCCCTGACATTAACAGTACATCCTAAATACCCTATGGATCCTTTATGCACACACTAGATCCCCTGCAGACACACACTGCATGATCTACACACAGTACATCCCTGACATACACCATACATACCAAATACACACTATATATCCTTTACACACACACACTAGATCCCCTACAGACACACATTGTATATCCCTGACACACACACAGTATATCCTAAATACCCTATGGATCCTTTCCGCACACACTGGATCCTTTAGGCACACACTAGATCCCCTACACACACACTAGATCCCCTACACACACACTCTGCATAACTTACGCACACAGTACATCCCTGATGCACAGAGTACTGATGCGCGCACTCACACCGCACATCCCTGATGCGCGCACACACACCGCACATCCCTAACGCCCGCACACACAGCACATCCCTGATGCCCACACACACACAGCACATCCTGAATACCCCAGGGATCCTTTACGCACACACTAGATTCCCTACAGACACACACTGCTCAACCTACACACACAGTACATCTCTGACACACACAGTACATTCAATATAAACACTATGGATCCTTTAGGAACATGCTAAAACCCCTGCAGACACACACTGCACCACGTACACACACAACATCCCTGACACACAAACCACTCACTCTATACATATGCAATACCACAATTAGCCACCAAGAGCATGCACAGTACTTTCTCCTGGAATTTTTGTCCTTTGGTGTCCCACTTATGGAGAGACCAGAAACAAGTCACAAGCACTGCACATTACACAGGGCCTTTTTCCCATGCAAGAGTTCTTTAGGAGAGCTCTGTGCATGGACCACTCTGGAAGGGCAAAGAACTAAAATGCTCACTTTTGGGGGATTTGCTTATCATTGTTAATGACACAACATGCCCCCTCTTGTTCTCCAACTCCTACCAATGGGCCTCTCTGATTAGAAAATGCCCAGGCCAAATTGTATTCCCAGTCCAGCCCTGCCATAGCCAAAGTGACCCAAGCTGCACACACATTCATGGATTTATTCTGCTGCCCAGGATGACTGCTATCATTCTATAAGAATGAAGGGATAGAAGGAGGGAATCCACTCTTTTAGAATTGGGTGTTCTAATGCAATTTAGGATTGCTTGCTGCTCTCTCTAGTAATCCTTTCCAGTTTTCTGATATAGTGTATCTTTTCACAATAGCTCTTGTAGACCACCTGGTGTCCTTACACTGCCCCACTTCCATTCCTGAATCATTATTACTCTGTTCAAAGATGAAAACTTTACTATTTTGTTTCTTAAGGGCTACTGGCATGACTATTTTTTTTCAGTTTCTCGTGGCTGCGATTAGCTAAATGTCGGACTATGTAAGATGGCAACATGCTCTCTTCTCTGCCTTGTTGCCATGATAGCCCATTTTCTCTTCATCTGCTGTGACTTGGGTTGTTGTACTGTCAACATCATTCACACTGGTTAGTTTAACCATTTAAGGTCCCTTGCCTGCATTGGTGTTATGATTTACAATATGTCTTACTAGTTGTGGGAGTGTCAGGATTACTGTTGATCCAGCACGCAGAATAGTATCACATCTAGGACTAAGGGTAACGTCTAATCGGTTCTTAGAATGGCCGGACTTAATGTACCGCAGAATAGTCAAAATACTTGCCGAGGTCAGGGACACAGGATGGGACACAACGATGAGGAAGGCCAGAAGTCAAGGATACCAGAAATCAGGGAAGTCAAAACTAAGCATACATCATACATACTCTCAGATAACCAGCTAGTGGAAACCAGGACAGGGCAAAGAAAAAATAAAGAAATGAGCTTTTATAACCCTTCCCTATCATTCATTGGTGGACAGGGATCACCTGACTCCAGAACGTGCGTGTGCGCTCTTTGTGTGGCCGCCCACGCACGTCTGCATGACCTCTCACCCTGCTGGAGGCAGGGCTATATCTTTTTATGCTTGCACAGCGGCCGGCATCCATAGGAACGCAGTGCTTGCTGGGGATGGACACGCCGGCGGATCTGGCCGTGATCCACCGCAACTTAGGTAGTTTATTTTTTATTTAAGTGGCTGCACCGATCAGGGGCAGTCACAGGCCGCGGCCGTGACAGAAACATCTCCACGCCAGCAGAGATGTCAGGAGCCATGACAGGGAGGTAGTGGGATTTACCTCTTCTGAAGGTTCAAGCTAAAAGGACAACAAACTGTTTTGTAATATAATAATCCTTTCAGAAAGCTTTGAAAGGAAATAGGTTTGGCATAGCAGAGTTTGCCCTTTGTCATGCCCTTTGATAAGCGCCTACCTTTCACCCTGCTTCTTCGGCTGTCTACTGAGCTCCAACATGGCAGCACAGTTGGATGTTCCATGACTTTAAAAGTTTAACACTAAATGAGGGTCCCTAGTTGCACACAGCCCGGCCTACTCTGGAGGTATTGCTAAGGCATAGATTACACTCTTTGTTAGCAATGGTTGGCTGTGACAGTATGAGAGCGGTTAGCTGAAACTCTCATCCAATCACTGCTGACCATTGCTACTTGGACTAATGCATCTTTATTAGCCCAAGCCTAACCAAAGGGGGCTATCAGTGACTCTTGTTTAGCGTTAGAGAGCACGAGCAGTAATAACATGAAAAAAGTAAAACTGATGTCTTGATTGAAGTTCACTAACCTTTTCAGTTTAAATAAATTAACAGTAATAAAATATATTTTTAGAATCAGAATTAATTGAAATAAAAAAAACGAATGCACACACATAGCTACACAAACAAAAACAGTGTGCTGCCCATAAATACATTTATATATCCCTGCTGTCTTGGAGACCGCCTTCACTGCACCAGTCATAGTGTAACTCCAGTCTCACTCCATGATGTGGTTACTAAACATGTTATTGATGTGGCATTGTAAGGTTTAATTTGGCTGCTCTCATACATGCCAAGTGTGGCTACACTACGAAGGCAGACTGTCACTGCTCAATTATTGGGACATTACGTCCCAATAACTAATGAATTTGGACCAAAAAACAGACTTTGCATATCCATCTAATGAGTGAGCGGGGGTATTAGTGATTTTATGCTTCCCTGTGGGGTGCATTTGCCATTATTACAACAGCATGCTTACTTACACAAGCTAGTAAACTGTGTTTTGGTATAAAAATACTGCAATGGCAAGAAATATGGTTTATGGGCTAGTAAAAATGCAGCATTAACAGAAATAAATGGTGCTTATTAAATATATTGTTTAAATATAACCTATTAAAGAGGGGTTTTGTCACAGATACTTTAAAATTACATTTCCTATGCATTTATTAATGTATCATTTATTTCATCATATTAATCAAAGCTTAATTTAAGATAAAGCATGCTTGTTCCATTAACTTATTGATTATGAAATAACGTTTTCTCTATATCGGTGTGTTTATAGTTTTTTGTTACTTGCCAATATGTGGTTTTATAGGCTATAAAAACATATTTTATGTTTGCTGCATCTTTCATGTATTTGCTTAAAATAATGTACATTAATATACAATTAAATGTATTCCCATACCAACACACTTCCGCAAAACCTAGTACACAAGAAATATAATTAAATACTCTGCTAGGCTTAATCGCTTAGACAGAATGATCACACGCTGCTTTGCAGCAAATAATGAGAAAGGAAAAAAGAAAGGAAACTGATTAAAAATAAGACACAAACAATTTGCATAAGGAATATCAGGAATAATGCACAAACATTCCAAACAGTGTTGACAAACAATTATAAGGGTCCTATAGAATAAATACAGGACTGACAGTCCGAAATAAATTGCTAGGTTAGCATGAAATAGATAAGACAAATTAGTTAATGAGGAAATTAATGGAAAAATCACAATTCCAAAGACAAAACTGTTGCATACATCACAATTTAAATAGATTAGGAGCTTTATATCTAAAGATGTGGAGAAGACTATTGAAAATGACACAAACTTAATGAAGACAATACACTGAGACGACTTGAAAGGGAACTAATTATTTTAAAGATGATGGATCAACAGCTTTGCACTTACACAGAAAATTAAATAACTCTGTCTGTTGTGCAAGAACAAAGATCACTTAGAAAGCTATGGAATCTGTTGGCATTTGATGAATAATACATTTTAATGCACAAGCTTTTACTGTGTTTCTATTATGGTGTGTGGTTAAGAGAAAATTGCCTTTGCAGGGCCCCTCTCGGTGGAAAAGTAATAGGTTAACTCAATTTGGCTTTTAAACTGTGGTGACAAGGTTGGGAGATTGTGTTTGTCCTGATTTCTGGTAAGCCATTAGTCATGCCTGGAGATGTTACCTATAAAGAAGTAAGTAATGAAAGGGACAAAATGCAATGAACACTAAAATCATTACGAAAGCTCATGAAGAAGTTTAGAAAAGCATATATTCTGCTACTAATAGGAACTATTGTACCAGAACAGCACCATTGTCCCCTTTCTTTTTAATGCAAAACAAAAAAAGGAAGACCCCATGGACATTGGAACAATAAGTCTACTGCTAATCACTTGAAACATTTTCTTGAAGATTCTCCCTAAGCGACTTCAACAGATGTTGAACAATGTATGCCTTAATAGAGGGTTTTTCAATGTATACATCCTTATGGACCATATGCAAGCTGTTTGAGGACCTATTTCTAAGCATAATTAATTAAATCCATGCCTCATTGATTTTGACAAAAGCATTTCCTCTCCTCTGCACTTTAGGTATTTTAAATGGGACATTAGAACACAATGTTGACAAAAAACACATTGATATCATTAGAAACAGTTCTAAGTATTCAATGTCAACCATTAGTTTATAAATACAAGTAAACAGTGCTAAGATATTGATGTATTAGGAAAGATGAACTGTCAAACACGAGCAACTCAAGTACATACATGCTACATATATAAAATGTTTTGTTTATTTTCTTTTTCTAAATAACATCAGAAAAACGCTAAATCATACATGCTTTCAATTGACTAGAAACCTGTACCAGATAAAGGAAAATCATGTTTTCATTATACCCTTAAGAAAACAGGTATTTTTTTTCTATATGTTTTCGATGTGTGTAAGTGAAAAACACTTGCAAAAGTTCTAGATCTGGTGTCTGAAAGCTCTCCCATTTTTACACTGGCTCAGACTTTCAGTCTGTGTCGGATGATTGACCAATCAGAGGCTTCTCATTGAGCATCCTATTTGATGGAACCTTGAGCATGCGCACTCGTGGCTTTACATTCATAGACTTCTCCATGAGCTGTTGCAGGCCCATTCTAATATTCCGTATAGACACAGGAGCATACTAAATGTATTAAAACACAATATTTATTATCCATATTAAAAGCCACTCTTAAAAATATAATCACATAGTAGTACAGCAAGACCGATAACCATCAGAGTAAATAAAATTGACACAGAATATAGCATAAATTAGATCCTCACATCAAATTTACAATGAAAGTGTTAGCATAAATAACCTGTATCACTTGGAAATTTCCTAAATAGAAAACTGAGGTGCCTTAAGGCATGAGCATTTACATACATAAGTGAAATACCAGCAGCCACCGATATACAGAACAGAGAACAAAATGTAAAAAGATACTCACAATATTTTAGCAAAAATCCTATCTCAGGGGAGGATAAAGGTGTGCTTGATCTTTCTGTGTCTGCTGCTCTTCCTTTAGATCTGTGAAACTAATCGAAACAAACCAAAAAAAATCTGACAATTGTGGTGCTATTTGGGTACCCATTTATAAAAGTGATGCATTCTATTTAAATCAGAATATTTATAGATTGAACAAATTACTTAATTATCCTGGAATAATCCATGTGTTTGGAGTGTTTCTTTAATCTCTATATGTTTATCCAATTCCAAATGTAGTATTGCACTCAGGAAACCCAACAGAGTCTGCCACCACACCTGGAGAACCACCGAAAGGACCAGCAGTCCATTAGAAGTATTCAAAGCCAAATTCCAAAGGCTTCACAGAGTAGTGCAAAGAGGAAGGAGATTTAGTCCGGATCAGGTGTTCAAAATTATATACAATGTTTCGGCATCAAATTTGACACCGAAACATTGTATATAATTTTGTTCTCCTGATCCTTAACCCCTTAAGGACCAAACTTCTGGAATAAAAAGGAATCATGACATGTCACACATGTCATGTGTCCTTAAGGGGTTAAAGGATCACTATAGGAGGCACCCGGACCACTTCAACTCAATGAAGTGGTCTGGGTGCCAGGTCCCTCTAGTTTTAACCCTGCAACTGAAAACATAGCAGTTTCAGAGAAACTCCTATGTTTCACTGAGGGTTAATCCAACCATTAGTGCCTGTCTCACTGACAGCTGCTAGAGGCGCTTCCGCGATTCTCACTGTGAAAATCACAATGAGAAGACGCTGGACATCCATAGAAAAGCATTACGTAATGCTTTCCTATGGGTGGTTTGAATGCACATGCGGCTCTTCCCGCACATGCGCATTCGGATCTCACGTAGGCAGGGGGAGGAGAGTTCCCCAGCACAGAGGGAGCATGGCACTGGGGTTTTAACCCCTTCAGCCCAGCGGGAGGGGGGCCCTGAGGGTGGGGGGGGGGGAACCTAATGACCCTATAGTGCCTGGAAAATTAGTTTGTTTTCCTGGCACTATAGTGATCCTTTAACAAACCGCCTTCCTGTATGCACTACTCTGTGAAGCCTTTGGAATTAGATTTTGAATACCTCTATATTTATCATTACAATACCTTTTGAGAGATATAGAGATTGAAATAGTTCTGACTTATGTTGGTTTTGCTCTTATAAAAGTTTCTTTTTTATATATACACTGCTCAAAAAAATAAAGGGAACACTTAAACAACACAATGTAACTCCAAGTCAATCACACTTCTGTGAAATCAAACTGTCCACTTAGGAAGCAACACTGAGTGACCATCAATTTCACATGCTGTTGTGCAAATGGGATAGACAACAGGTGGAAATTATAGGCAATTAGCAAGACACCCCCAATAAAGGAGTGGTTCTGCAGGTGGTGACCACAGACCACTTCTCAGTTCCTATGCTTCCTGGCTGATGTTTTGGTCACTTTTGAATGCTGGCGGTGCTTTCACTCTAGTGGTAGCATGAGACGGAGTCTAAAACCCACACAGGTGGCTCAGGTAGTGCAGCTCATCTAGGATGGCACATCAATGCGAACTGTGGCAAGAAGGTTTGCTGTGTCTGTCAGCGTAGTGTCCAGAGCATGGAGGCACTACCAGGAAACAGGCAAGTACATCAGGAGACGTGGAAGATGCCGTAGGAGGGCATCAACCCATCAGCAGGACAGTTACCTCCGCCTTTGTACAAGGAGGAACAGGAGGAGCACTGCCAGAGCCCTGCAAAATGACCTCCATTAGGCCACAAATGTGCATGTGTCTGCTCAAATGGTCAGAAATAGACTCCATGAGGGTGGTATGAGGGCCCGACGTCCACAGGTGGGGGTTGTGCTTACAGCCCAAAACCGTGCAGGATGTTTGGCATTTGCCAGAGAACACCAAGATTGGCAAATTCGCTACTGGCGCCCTGTGCTCTTCACAGATGAAAGCAGGTTCACACTGAGCACATGTGACAGATGTGACAGAGTCTGGAGTCGCTGTGGAGAACGTTCTGCTGCCAGCAACATCCTCCAGCATGACCGGTTTGGCAGTGGGTCAGTAATGGTGTGGGGTGGCATTTCTTTGGGGGGCCGCACAGCCCTCCATGTGCTTGCCAGAGGTAGCCTGACTGCCATTAGGTACCGAGATGAGATCCTCAGACCCCTTGTGAGACCATATGCTGGTGCGGTTGGTCCTGGGTTCCTCCTAATGCAAGACAATGCTAGACCTCATGTGGCTGGAGTGTGTCAGCAGTTACTGCAAGATGAAGGCATTGATGCTATGGACTGGCCCGCCCATTCCCCAGACCTGAATCCAATTGTGCACATCTGTCTCGCTCCATCCACCAATGTCACTTTGCACAACAGACTGTCCAGGAGTTGGCAGATGCTTTAGTCCAGGTCTGGGAGGAAATCCCCTCAGGAGACCATCCGCCACCTCATCAGGAGCATGCACAGGCATTGTAGGGAGGTCATACAGGCACGTGGAGGACACACACACTACTGAGCCTCATTTTGACTTGTTTTAAGGACATTACATCAAAGTTGGCTCAGCCTGTAGTGTGTTCTTCCACTTTCATTTTGAGTGTGACTCCAAATCCAGACCTCCATGGGTTGAAAAATTTGATTTCCATTTTTTTTTATTTTTGTCTGATTTTGTTGTCAGCACATTCAACTATGTAAAGAACAAAGTATTTCAGAAGAATATTTAATTCATTCTAGGATGTGTTATTTTTGTGTTCCCTTTATTTTTTTGAGCAGTGTATAAATAATGTGTATCTGGTACACTCACAAAATTTATATGTGATTCACAAGGATCAAGGTGAAGTGAAATATAAGAAAGTAAAAACCAAAAATGTGGTCCTTATAGTTTGCTTTTAGTGGCAAAATATCACATCAGGATAAGAAGCTGGCAGTGTAATTGTCATTCTTGGGCTTATAATGCTGAGCTTTTCAATAGTAAATGTATCACTATAAATCTTGAACAAAAAAGACAACAGTCTGAGCAATTTTATTTATAAATTTTTCTCATTTTTTGGGGATTTCACTTTTTATTTTTATAGACTAGAATTAAATTAGATTAACGTTGGAGAAATCTTGGCTTTGAATTGACGAGGAAGCAATAGTTGACAGCATGTGATAATTAAAACTGTAGGAAAACCATGAAATAAATACAGTGTAGCAGCCAGCAGTATAGTGGTTATAGGATCCCCTAATAGTGTATTAGGGCGAATAGAAGGTACGTTTATGGAGTGGGGGAGAATTTCTAAGTTTACAGTATCCTCTGTTTTTGTAAGTCTGAGCAATTTTAGAGATTGCTGCGCACATGTCTGCTGACCCAACGTTGCCCCCCA